ATACTTAAGAATACGAAAATTTTAAACAGTTTAACAGTTCATGTGGAAGCGTTTGCGGTGCAACTGGCGCGAACAGGACACCAGAGGTCACAGGAATTACAGCTCTTATGACTACTAGCAGTATGTGTGCGTGGTTGTTACAGCAGTAGATCTTAGGGACGAGGGGTACCTGACGGCAATGCATGGGCTCCATCGATGCATGTGCCTCGGCATGAAGGGTGAATACAATACGTTTCATATGCACAGACCTCATAGTCTGCAGCATTTTAAGGGAGGTCAAATGTGTTTCGCACGCAGCAGCTAGTGCAGCTTTGGCCCGAACACTGTATATACGAGCGGCCTACATAAAGGCATACCTTTATACAACGATTATAGGCTCTCACAGCTTTTCTTGCGTACACATGATAACCTATAGCCTTCAGGCCTATAGACCATGCTGTATACAACAGATCGCCTATAGGTGTGTTGTATACGATCATATACGCGAAATCACCTATACTCCACATATTCCGCGGTCCTACCTATTAGGCGATGGCCCGGCCTATAGGTGACTTCCAATTTTAGAGACGTTGGTGGTGTTAACACGTCATGTTGGCTCATAATTTGGTGACCGTTTGCACGACATAACTGACAAGGACCCATCGGACTCCGAACTCCTCGTAGCTTCGACCCCCGCGGAGGGACAGTCAGCAGTGCATGACGCAGCGTTTCACCAGCCTTGTCTTGTTAGCCGCGTTAATGGGGCCGTTACATGTAACAATGTGCATGTCATGTAGCCTGTGGGACATATTTAGACGGGAAATAAAAGCTCGACCGCTGTCACTGCTTTAATATCGTTGGGGAATGACATCACTGCGCTGTGCTTGAGGGCGGGAAATGTAGGGTGTGTGCATGCGCGCGCCATACTTCCGTTGCCACCAATTCTGTGTTAACCGTACACTTTCATGTAATGTTCGTTTACGGTTTGGGTAATTTCCATGCTTTTTAAGTATAATGGCTAACTATGAACCATAACGCGAGTTGGAAGAGGGTTTTGTGAACCCCTTAGACAGTTAGCCCGCGCGGAGGGCATTCTGCAGCGGAGCGGGGAAAAGGGGAGCTGCTCACCATGCACTCCTTGCCGCTCGGCTCTGCGCGCCGTTACCTTGGTTGGGCACAGGAGTCGGTCTTTGGATAGGTGCATGTGGTGCAATGCAGCTTACTAGCTAGGAGCGAGTATTGGGTCGCGTGAAAGGCGGGTTGGTTAGTGCGGATGGGGTGGTGGCATGGCCGCCACTTGTTCAACTGCGCCGGTGGGGCATGAGCGCCAGGGTGGGCGGATGGCTGGAAGGCAAATTTTTGCATTGCTATTGCTTTAAATATGGTGGCCGTGTGTTTAGGGCAGATGTGCGCCACCGACTCTGAAGCTCGGGCCATTCCTCAGCTGCACTTCGGACCACGCGTTGTAAGGATACGATGAACCGGGTTATTAAAGTCTTGGCAGGCAAGGCTCGAGAACCCTCGACAGAATACCCGTCGGTCGTTTGTCTATTTCTCCTTGTACGTAAAAGCCTCCACAATACAGCATAACATTCGGCGGAACGGAAACGATGCGCTGGTTAAATGAACAACATGCCACAGAACCCTATATGGCTTTCCAAAAATAGATTGCGCTTATCTATCGACTTAAGGGCGCGCATGAAGCGCCTTTTAAGAAGGCCATCATACCTCCGAGGAGCTAGTCCCGCAGCGTGGCAGCCAGCTACGGCATTCATGGCAGGGTACGACAGACTATGCGCACTCCCACCATCCCACCATTCCACTAGGTCACCCGCTTGGCGCACCTCCCCCGCTCCCACGTGAGGCGCATTCGCGTAGCCAAACGCGGTCCCCTCAAATGCCGGTCCAAAGTGCCAATCTCCCGGCGTTGTTGCCGAGATGCTGCATGCCATATCATGGTCTGGGTGGGTTATCGCCACGTCTCTTAAGGAAAATTGGAAACAATCCGTGTAAAAGCTCGTCGCAGGAAAAAACGACCGGATGGTTGAGTCTCTGGATAAGTCTGGTACCTGTTTACACAAGTAGAAGCCATCGCGGCGTGCTGATATAGCACGGTTCAGAAACCACACCTTCCTTTGGACGCATAGTTTAGCCCTCCTGCGCCGAGAAAAAAATCTGCCCTCGCAAATTAAGGCAGCGAGCCGTCATTTTTAAACTACTAAAACACATTTGGTCAGTCAGAGCATTTACCGTCGACATATGTACGGAGACAATGGTGGGTATCGCGCGACCCAGAAGCTTGCACAAGCTTATGTACTCGGAAGCGCCACGTGCATGGCGGCTTCGGTAAACGCTCATCAGCTGCCCGCAGGGCTTCCTAAAACCATGTGCTAGCAGTTCCGTCAACCAGCCCGGCAAGCGCCACGTGCAAAACTAGTCAAAGACAACTCTGCCGTCATGCCCCCCTTTCAGGTAAGAGCGTATCCTCAATGCTGCCGAAAGACGCGGTCAACGCTGGTCAACGCTGGTTATGTGTCAATTTTGTCAAGCTCCGCTAGGCGTTCAAGGATAACCTGCGCAAGGAAGTGCATACAGCGACAGGGACTTCTGGTACCCGTGGACTCATGGATACGAAACCCCGTAAATTTTGAAAACAAACCCAACAAAGGCTACCCCAAAACTGTGCCGTCCCGGCGAGGCAACCGGCACGGCCGTCCGCACTAGTTCATTGTAGTCCCTACGTGCACTAGTACGGACCGTAGTGCCATATTTGACCACCCAGCCTGTGGCCATGCAGAACACACAACATGGAGGAAAGGCTGCATGTGCTCCTCGCTGCCCATACATTGTCCCCTTGGGCAGCTTCGAGAACCCGGCCCAGACTTCAGTTCCCCGTAAGCACTACGCATACACCTGTTAGGCTGCCCCTCAACTTCTACAAGTGTGCGCTCGGCGCTAGGACGTAGTACACAGCTCTAATTAGGTCCGCCCAAAGCAACGCCGTGGATCCCATACCCGGTTCATTAAGTACCTTCTTGGCAGTCTCCTGGATCTCACCCCCGGAGATGAACTCATCCAGGATAAGGTAGACCTACGAGAGTGCAGCGAGGGCGTTGCTCGACACGAACCCCCGACAAGGAACAGGGCAGGCCCCCAGCAAAGACGCAGCCGAAAGCCGGCCTAAGCCCGTCCCCCATCGACCTTGTGAAAGTTGAAGACCAGGTCAAGCTCGCAAACGTTGCTGAAGTAATGGTCTAGGATCTCCACGAAAAGGTGAATCGCCTCCAGGCAGGTGAGCTCGTTGTCAGACTGATCAATGCACATCGAGAAGAACAGACCCGCGTACCGCCGGTACACGACTTTATATGAACGGAACTGCACGAATAGCGAGTCCCAAAATAACCATCGTGCCATATTTCACAGGCAATCACCAGCTTGCGTGACGCACAAACCTCCAGGAAGTTAGTATGTTTAGGGTCACGATTCACCACTAGCCGGTGGATTTCATACTCCAACTTTCGGCGCTCCCCTTCCTCAATGGGGACGTAGTATTTCGATAGCCTCGTGCGCCCTGCCCTATTCTGTAAAAGAATAAAACGGATCATGACGCTGACTCAAAGGCTCTCAACTAGCTGCAAAACGTTTTGGCACGCCTTTGCCAAGCCCGGTTCTATCTACCAGCCCCAGCGCCAAGGAAAGCTACCATGCATTACTAGCGATAAATGAAGCTCACATTGACCACATCATGTGCGCGTCCTGGTCAAATGACGAGCAAACCAGGGACGACGGGATTGTCGTGCATTCATCATACATGTCATGTTTCCTTTGAATCCATTTGTCCAAGCAATGCTTACAGTAGTTACTCTTTGCATTAGCGTAAGATGCTAGCGACGAAGTTGCCAATGCGATCCCAGGCCACCAAAGGGGGGCTTACCAAGCGTTCGAGGCTCATTTCTAGAGGGCCGTCCATCACTGCGTCTAAATGGTCGTGCGTATCAACCATGGCGCTAGGTCCCAATGGTTATGGTTTGAGCAACCCTAGCAGCTCCTCCAGTTCCACACTATTTAGTTCCTTCCATCTCGATGTTAGCGATGATGAGGCTCCTGAGATTGCCGAAACAAAAGTCATGTGCTTCTCTTCCGCTCAGTACGTGAAGGCAAGCAACCGTGTCGCCGTCCTTCTCAGTGATGTATTTGCAGCTCATTGATTTGTAACCTTGTCCGTTGGCGCTGTCCGTAGGACTTCCTGACTGCGCCAATGCGCAAATATTATCCTAACGCCACATTTGTAGAGGTAAGTCCATGTACGGCAGGCTGTAGGCCTATAGGCGCCGTACAACATTCCTTGGCGTGTTGCCGACGTATGCTGGCCTTGCAGGCATGGGGCATGTTAAAACCCAGCTCGGGTTTCCATCCGGGGCCCACCACAGCTGTAGCGTAGAGTGGCCCCGAACGACTCCATTGTCCATCGGAGCTAACCAGCGCAAAAGACGACGCAGGAAAAGCATCGCATCGGGACGTCCACCTCTTTTGCCCCATGCATATTAACCGTAAGGTGCCCTCAACCTTAAAGTGCCCTTGATTTCGTCATACTTTGCCAGCGATACGTGTGCCTGTACGTTTGCCTGCCTGCCTGCCTTACCGTACGCAGCCGACACTAGACAAGGATACCGCCCAGCTGGCGGATGGCTTCGATGTGGTGGTGGCCTTCGTCAACGACTTCGTCACGGCTGAGGTGATCAACTTGCCAGGCCGGCCGTACCGAGGACCATATTGCGTCATGTCGTATACACCTGCCGTACGCATCCATCCTGCAGTTCATGACATCAACCTTTCATTTTGAGGCCGTAAGGGTCTCAGATCTCATAAGGATACTTAAAGGTCATGAAAGCGTCCGCGTGTGTCCTGCGTTCCGTACTGTACGGCACAGGTTGTCGAGGTATTGGCCAGGGGAGGTGTCAAGCTGGTGGCTCTGCGCTGTGCGGGTTTCGGTGAGAGCGGCAGGGGTGTGTTCCCCCTGGGTCCCCGATGGGGTGGGAGAAGGGATGGTGGGGGTTTGGGGGGTTCAGACAGCAGGTTCAGGCACAGATATACCCCAAACACCTGAAGGGTCTGGCTGGCGACTTCTTTTCCAGATAAAGGGCTCCACCGTCCCCAGCTGCGAGAATCCGAGACCAGACACGAACGGCCCTGTGGACCCCACGTTTGGTGCTGACGCGGGACATCCGCCGCAGCTGCCGGGTCTCTGATGCAGTGAGAGCCTGTTGGTCTTAGAGAGGGTTGGACCACCTCTGATACCGGAGCTCCAGGAGCCAACCGCCACTAACACCCACACTAAGTAGCCATGAGACCCCGCGGAGGGAGCTGGGGCGACCCGGGCGACGTCGCTGTAGCTGAGGGATGTGGGAGAGGAGGACGTGGGAGAGGAGGACGTGGGTCCTTAGCGGGGGCACACCGCGGGTGGGCGCCCGCGCCCTGATTCTGGCGGGGGCCGGGGCGACCTGCGCGGAATCCTCATGAACACCCCTGACCACCTTTCCTCATGTCTGTCTGTCTATCTGTCTGTCTGCAGACCGCGTGGACGTGTCCGCATGTGCCCGACACGGCATCCGCGTGGCGCGAGTGCCCACCTACTCCCCGGAGAGTG